TAGGTACATCAATATGACAGTGTAGTAGACAGTCCCCACTGATGTGTATAGGTACATCTATATCACAGTGTAGTAGACAGTCCCCACTGATGTGTATAGGTACATCTATATCAGTGTAGTAGACAGTCCCCACTGATGTGTATATGAACATAAAGGCTGCGACAAACTGAGTTCCATTGTTTTGTAAGTAAACGTGATTGTACATGGTGTCGATGATGTCGTTTGGTTATGATACATACAAATGTATAACCAAACGACATTATCGGAGAATCGTGTATTTGGTTGCTAACCGATTGGTATCAATTGTTCACCCAGGGTGATACGAAAGGTCAACCACCCAACAGGAACTCTAAGATTGTCTTCAGGTTCACGATTGTGCGAATAAGGATCGATAAACATAGGATATCTTTTTCTTAATTTGTAAGGCGCTACCTCTACGTGCACTTCCGGTGTAAGTTTCTACATCTGTATGAATTTCCACTATAAGGTTGTGCGTCAGTCGTTTCTTATGGAAATCTTTTGTTGTGCCCTCTTACGTTGGAAAATGTTCGCAGTGTAAACTCTCTCGACCACACGTATTAACTGCCAGATCCCTTGTCTTTACCCCGAGGTTACCTTTAATACATTTTCAAATTCGTACTCACTGAACTGTCTTGAGCCGAATGAGAAAGATGGTGCCCCTTTTTTGGTCTGGTCTGTCTCCTTGGTTCCGACCGTCGTCGGGAGGTTGTATTTGGCGGGACCAGGACCTGCAGATACCAAAAACGTAGTCACAGTGAATATAAACACAGGCATTTAGTTGTAGTCAAGCTTTACTACCCAGCTCACTCCCGGGCAATATCATGACACCGTTCTTGTTTTCAAACTCAGTTTCTTGTTCTGGAGATAAGTTGATAAATATTTTACACGTAGTAAACGATTTGGAATAATTTTGGAGAGAGTTAAATATTTGTACCATTTCCACTTGGCTCTTTGGCCGTTAAGTTGGTTTATGCAATTTACATGGAAGTTGGTTTGAGCACAGACTCCGTGCTTGAATATAAGAACGTCTTACAATCAGGATCTACCGTAGCCTACAGATAATGTTCTATAACAGCGTGTACCTGAAAATAATCCCATTTAATTTCAGTAACAGTAATAACACTGCTATGTTGTTATTTGATCACGACAATGTTCTTGATGCAAAAACAACGTATAGCAGCTGTCTACATTGTATATTGCTGACTATATTTCACTGTAGAGGTTGCCAGTTGTGTATTGCTGACTATGTTTCACTGTAGTGGTTGCCAGTTGTGTATTGCTGACTATGTTTAACTGTAGTGGTTGCCAGTCGTGTATTGCTGACTATGTTTCAGTGTAGAGGTTGCCAGTTGTGTATTGCTGACTATATTTAACTGTAGTGGATGCCAGTTGTGTATTGCTGACAATGTCTCACTGTAGTGGTGGCCAGTTGTGTATTGCTGACTATATTTAACTGTAGTGGTTGCCAGTTGTGTATTGCTGACAATGTCTCACTGTAGTGGTTGCCAGTTGTGTATTGCTGACTATATTTCACTGTAGCGCTTGCCAGTTGTGTATTGCTGACTATATTTCACTGTGGCGGTTGCCAGTTGTGTATTGCTTAATATATTTCACTGTAGTGGTTGCCAGTTGAATACCAACTTTATGATAAAGAATGTTGAAGGATATCAGCATTTTTCTCGCATAATCTTTACAATTTACTGGTATCACATTGAAAACACAAACTTATTAAATCATCAAAAAAAAGTAAAGTGCATCCTAGGTTTGACTTGTTTTACCAGACGAGAGAAAGTCTAACTGTGCTCGTTAGTGCTACATATTCTAGTGGAATGGTTTGTAGAAGTTTGGGGGTTTAAAAATACTTATTTACATGTAATATAAATAGACGAAACAGTGCTCTTACTGTGTACCTCATTTTCAAATATCATTTTGGACAAGAAGAATTATGGAAAACTCCCAAAATAAAGCCAGAGAACGTATATGTTAACTAAGTATATCCTCTATGTGAGGACAGTGTAGGGGACGGTGGGCAGGTTCTCTACAGAAAAACAGAATATGTCCTCTATGTGACGACAGTGTAG